TTGTGTGTATATTTAACTCTGGATTGATAGAAAATACCTTTTTTAAAATGACATATAATTGACATACACTAGTTTCATGTGTAGAGTATGATGAGTTAATATTTACATATGCTGTGAAGTGACCACCACAGTCTAGTCTATAACTTTCTATTATAGAATACAGTGGTATTAACTATAGTGTGCTGTATATTACAGCCCCATGGTTTACTTATAACTGGAAGTTAATACCTTTTGACACCCTTTACCCGTTTTCCCTACCCTTGTCTCTGGCAACCACCAGTCTATTCTCTGTTTGACCTTGTTGTTTAAGATTCCACATTTAAGTGATATCATTTCGTATTTGTCTTTTTCTTTCTGACTTATTTCACTTGTCATAATGGCCCTGAGGTCTATCCATGTTGTTGTAAATGGCAAGATTTCATTTTTTATGTCAAGGTAATATTCCACTGTGTGTGTGTATGTGTGTGTATCACATCTTTATCCATCCATGCATTGATGGCCACTTAGGTTGTTTCCATGTCTTGGCTATTGTAAGTAATGCTGCAATGAGCATGAGGATGTATGTAGGTTTTTGAGTTAGTTTTTTTTTTTTTCCTTTAGATAAATACCCATAAGTGGAATTGCTCGATCTATATTATAACTCTATTTTAATTTTTTGAGGAACCTTCATACTGTTTTTCACAGTAGTTGCACCAACTTATATTTACACAAACAGGGCACAAAGGTTGCCTTTCTTCCACATTCTCAACAGTATTTTTTATTTCTTACCTTTTGACAACCAGTATCACAGGTATGGGGTGATTACTCACTGTGGTTTTGGTTTGCATTTCTCTAATGATTAGAGATGTTGAGCATGTCTTCTTTGAGAACATGTTTATTCTGTATTTTTTAATTGGATTGTTTTCCTGTTATTGAGCTATATGAATTATTTATATATTTTAGATATTAACTCCTATCAGCTATATGATTTGCAAACATTTTCCCAGTTCAGTAGGTTGCTTGGTAATTTTGTTAATGGTTTCCTTTTCTGTTCAGAAGCACTTGACATAGTCCTATTGATTATTTTTGCTTTTCTTGCCTTTGATTTGGTGTCAGATCCACAAAGTCATCCCCATGACTAATGCCAAGAAACTAACCACCTGTTTTCTTCTATGAATCTTAGTGTTTCAGGTTGTCTTTTTAGAAAATGTTTTTTATTTTTTAATTGAAGGGTAATTGCTTTACAGAATTTTGTTGCTTTCTGTCAAACCTTAACATAAATCAGCCATAGGTATACATATGCTCCTTCCCTTTCAGAACTCCCTCCCATCTCCCTCCCCATCCCAGTCCTCTAGGTTGATACAGAGCCCCTGTCTGAGTTCCCTGAGACATACAACAAATTTACACTGGCTATCTCTTTTACACATGGCTATATAAGTTTCCATGTTACTCTTTCCATACATCTCACCCTCTCCTCCCCTTTCCCTGTGTCCACAAGTCTGTTTTCTATGTCTGTTTCTCCATTCAAGTCTTTAATCTATTTTTGAGTTAAATGTTGTGTCTAGTGTAAGACAGGAGTCTAGTTTTATTCTTTGTACATGGCTGTATTATTTCCCCAACACCATTTATTGAAGAGGCCATTCTTTCCTCCCTGTATATTCTTGAGTCTCCTGTCATAAACTAATTGACCATATATGCATCAGTTTATTTCTAGGCTCTGTATCTTGTTTGATTGATCTACATGTCTTTTTTTACTACTTCAACCTTACAGTACAGTTTGAAATCAGGGGGCATGGGACCTCTAGCTTTGTCTTTTTTTTCAATATTGCTTTGGCTGTTTGGGGTCTTTTGTGGCTGCATAACATTTTAGAATTGTTTATTCTATTTCTGTAAATAACACCATTGAACTTTTGACAGGAGTTGTACTGAACTCATTGATTGCTTTGGGATGCATGGACAGTTTAGCCTTATTGATTCTTAGACTACGTGAATGAGGATGGACCATCTACACTAATTTGTGTCAGCTGAGTGGTGGTCTACTGAGAAATAACTCTCTCTGATTCTTACAGTTCCCTGAGACCCAGGAACTGAGCCTAAAAAAGTCAGGCAAACAAAAACCCCTTGTTTGGGTCACAGCCACAAAAAACAGGTCACCAGCCGTAGAGGCAGGTGTGCCTTCCACATGCAGAAGCTCCTATCTGGGAGAGAACGGTGCAGTGGACTGCAGCTGGGAGCAGGGCGTGGAGTGGAGACAAAGAGGGCCCTGCCAACAAGAAACAACAACCACACACACTGCCCTCGGGTTTTAGCAAGGCAGAGGGCGGGGGCAGCAAAGTGGCACCTGCGGCCTCCACAGCCAGCGACTATCCCAGAGGTCCCTACCCTCAAACCAGGGCTTCAGAACCAGCAAGTCTCTCTCACAGCCTGGGCGCTCTGCAGAGGGGCCGCTCCTGCACCACGGGTGAATCTGCACGTGTGCCCCTAAGACCATATCTCAGTTCACCACAGCCCTAGATACTATAGGCAAGGGCCCCGTTGGTCTTCCAGCCAGATATGTCAGGGCTCATCTCCCCGGGGTCAGACTTAAAGGCCCGGGTGCCCAGTATGAGGAGGAACCCTTCATTCCAGGGGAGCAGCCCCGTGTTCTTAGTTCCCTCTGGATGGTGCCTGGCTGAGCTGGAGGTGGGTCTGCAGTGAGACTGTATCTCACGTTTCCTTTTCCCTTCCATGTGCTTTTGTCCTTATTGGCCTGGTGTGGAGGGGTTGCTCTGCCTGAGAAACCATCCCCTTCATAGCTGTATGTTTGCCACGTCTACTGGAGGAGGTGAGCTCAGGACCTTCCCTTGTCACTATCACGAACTGCGCACTCAGTAGGGTCTTAATCTCTGCAGTGCGGTCTGACACCTGCCCCCACCCCCTTTTCTTCTCACCAGAGTATCTCCTGCGGGGCGGGCAGTGGAGAGATCAACCACACGTACTTGTCCCGAGCAGGACCCTGCAAACCAAGTGTTAAAGCTCACAGCTGATGTCAATTGGCAGGGACCAGGCTATTCTGATGTGATTAGTTGCTTAGTCTTATCCGACTCTTGCAACCCCATGGACTGTAGCCTGCCAGGCTGTCGGTCCATAGGAATTCTCCAGGCAAGAATACTGGAGTGGGTTGCCATGCCCCTCTCCAGGGGACCTTCCCAACCCAGGGATTGAACCCATGTCTCCTGCATTGCAGGCAGATTCTTTACCATCTAAGCCACCAGGGAAGACCCTCTGATTTGTTGGTCTCGACATAAGAAAACGGAAACAAAGTGTATTATTTTGTCTTTAAAAGGAAGGATATCTTACTTGAACTCAATTTGTGTAACTAAAACATATAACTTCACTATTAGAGTATATTTTGTTGAATGCTTTTATTTATTTCACAATTAGAGCAAAGTTTTATTACACTGGTTTGTTGGCAGTCAGCTCTGAGAAAATTTTGTTTGCAAAATTTTGTTCCCTCTGTTCCCTCCTGGGGGGTATTGTAGATACTAAACATACCTACAAAGGCAGTGATGGAGCATTCAAAAGTCACTGCTATGCTAGTGAGGATAGCAGTTATACATGTTCTATGACATGATGGTTCTAGAGAAAGGGCCAAGATTTGATATAAACTTGTATCTAAGAGAAACAATATGTTATTTTAAGGTTTACTATATATGTAAAACCTAATTAAATTTAGAGGAAAATAAGTTTAAATGCATACAATAAAATGGTTCACTTCTTAGTAGGTTTATTAATAGCCTAAAATGTACCAGCAAAAATTTCCAGTACAATACTATATTGCTTATAGGTGTTAACTAACCATAGTGCTAATTAAAGGGAAATTCTTACTTGTTATATGATTGCTGGAATAAAGTTTTCCCATCTGTCACCTCTCCTTAGATAAATCATGAAAGCCTAGAAACCTAAGGAAGGTTTACCATTAATTTTAGCTAAACTTCTTTGTCCCTTTCAAAGCATCACCCACTCATATTTATTTAAGAAGACATGAACAAAGTTGAGATTTTCATAATGAATTCTAGGCTCTGGGTACATTTTGCATTTTGAGTTTTAAATAAAAAGTTCTCTTAAATGTCAAAGGTTTTAAAAATGTAGGAATAAACAGAGGACAAGCCCCTCTCATTTCTTTGGGTCTTTCCTAAAATGTCAGACTTAACACTTTACACATGTAAAATATTCTGCAGAAGTGTTTATTTAAATCCATGTTTTTCAAACCTGACCACTCATTAGATTGTGGCCCTTTTAAAAATTAAAGCTATCCATGCCTGATTTCATTCTTATGAATTAGAATTAACTTGTTTAACAAACGTGTTTTGGAACAAGCTCAAGAACAGCCATGCCATGAATTGGCTTAACCCACTGTCCCACGTGTAGGACACAGATCCTGAAAAGGTGCTACAGCTGGTCTTTTTACCTTGGACAGATGATTCCTTTTCTTTAGGAACTGCAGAATGAGAGGGTGAGATGCTAGAAAGCTTCTGTGTGGATCCATTTGGAGAGAACAGCAGGGAAGGAGAAGCTGGGATCAGCCCATGATCTCAAACAGTTGGTGTGAGGTTCCCACCCAAGCGGAAGGCAGGGTTATCTTTAAGGCAATCTATTTTCTTTTGCTTCCTTTTTAATGCATAGGAAGATAAGGTTTTGATTTTCAAGGATCTTAGGGAAAGAAAAAATGGAAACAAAGGGAACCAAAGAATCCAACTATAGCTACAGAACATAAAAAGAACTAAGAGGTTTAAATGAGGAGGGTCTGGATGTACAGGTGGGGCTGGGTGATGAGAAGAACCCTACATACCATTTCATTCCTGTAGCCCCGACCTTGTCAGCAAGATCCAATGTCAATTAGTCTGTCTGGATGCTCAAATCCAGGACACCCTCTTTGAAACAAGGGTCATTTGATGGCTGATGCACTGAGGAGAACTCAGACACAGACAGCTGTAGACACTGGTTCAGCTGAAGACACTTGGTGTCCTCTTGTTTTGTAGCGAAGGGTGGAAAACAGGACAGAAAACCTTGCCCCAAGGAAGAGCATCTCTGGGATTCTCAAGTTCTGTTGCTCAGGTAAACACGTGTACATGAGCTCTACAGATGCGACTTCCCAGCCGTTTTACTACAAGAGGAACAAACGTAGACGCGTGAGTGTCCTGCTCTGCCTCCATGAACTGACATTTCTAAAGGTACTTGGTTTGTATTCACTGTGTAATAAGACCTTGATACGCAGGGTCTTAATACTAAGTTGAGGGACAGTAGCAGATGTTACCCTTATTAAATCAATCAGGCCTCACAATTGCAGTTCAGCTTATTGCAGTTTAATGAGCACTGTGGCTAGTTAAGAGCCTACGACTAGATTGTATTCCACTAAACATTTATACTGACATTTTACACGTTCTTAAGGAGTCCTCAAAAAGCCTGCCCAACAAACTTAGAAGAATGTTACTCATATTTGGTGGACTTTAAAGTTAATTGCTTTTTTAAAGAAAGTGGAACACAATGAACTAATAAGTTATAAAGGTTGTAGATGCTCAATTGTAACTTTAAGTGCAGACATAATTTATTTAATGTTTTCTACACCATTGTTATTAGAATTCGCTATTTTGTGAAATTGAAAACTGCTTTTGAATTTCCTATTCCAATGAGAACATACCCCTAACTAGTAAGAAAAAAAAAATCTTTTAAAAGTACATGCATTTTTTACTTTCTGCTTTATGATGTCCTGGACAATTTGTGTAAATTTATTCTGTATGCATAGAGTGGAATAAATATTTTCATTTAAAAATCTGTGGTAAAGTGTCTTGTGAGAAAGAGGAAAAAAAACAGCATTATTTTCCTCCTAGTCATTATACTCATACTTTCGGATTTTCATGATTTTACATAGTATAGTAATGAATTTGTCTAAAAGACACCTGTACAGTAGGTAAAGACCTCAGTTATCTGCCTCTCCTGCTATCTGAATAGAAAAAGATATGAAATAAGATTTAGTGTATGTCATACTGATTAATGCAAAAAACTTAACTTCTAAAATGCTTATTTGCAAACTGAAGGTAGTATTAAATAGCCTGAACCATTTTAAATGGTTATCATTTTAGTTTGGTTCTTACTGAAACAGGTAAAATTAACGCATCACACTGGAGGGGGGTGGAGCAGAGGGAGAAAGAGGTTTTAGCTGCATTTCCACTCACCCCGCCATCCCCTCATAACCCCAGCACAGTCTTTTTAGAGGAAAAACAGTTCTGGAGGCTGTGTGAGCAGAGGAGATTAGTGTCATACAGAATATGATACTTCAGAAAATATACATGTACATACAATTTAAAAATATGTTGCTATTGGTAAGAGACTGGCATTTCCCACACTCAGGAGATTTCAGCAAAAAAAGATAATTACTTCTGAAAATGTTTGGCATCCAATTTGCGCTTCTTTTGTACATATTTCTTTTGTGCTGACTCAGTCCTGGGGTAAGGAAAAAGAAGGTCAAATTTATTCAAGTTCTATATTTTTCTTTCAACATTAATTTTACTTTTATAATTTAGATCTCTCACTTAGAACCAATTAGTTCTAAATGGGTTTAGGTCTGTTTGCTGCTGTGTTCTGGCCCAATTTGTCTCATTTGAGAAAGCTTTACTCACCACCTCTGCTAGGCCACCTGGTGTGCACAAGGGAAAAATTCAAATAAAAATGAGGTACAGTCCAGGTGTAAGGGACTCGGGCTACTGGAGGAGAAATACGCACCCCAATCCACAAAGCCACAAAAAGGAGGCTGCCTTACTCTCCTCACAATCTAAACAGACACTGTGTCCAAAATTAGTTTTACTTTGTAAGAGTATTTTTGAAAGCTGAAAACCCAGATTTAAAATGATTACAGACTTTATAATGAAGATGACCTTGGAAACAAATAGAATCCTGGCTAAACTGGGATCTTTATCCTATTAGAATCCAAGCTAATCAATGAGAAAGAGCTGATTGACACTCAGAAGGGCATCAGCTGTCCTTTACCGACTGACCCTGAACCTAAGTGCCTAGAAGCGGGACTGCACAGTGGCTATAAGAGGCAACATACACATAGAGAGAAAGCTGGACAGGCACATAGTTCATCCTGTGCTCATTTCCCTGTGTCCACTGAAATCACTAATGGACAGAGAGGTTATTGAGAGACAATTTATACAGTTTTCAAAATGAGTATCTTTTCTCTCAAATGTTTTTAAAATTGAAGGGAAGCTGATGACACCAGGCTAAATCAGTGATGCCTTCATTGCAGCAGCCATGGGGTGGTGTCAACCTGGAGCCTTGCAAACTCCCAAACTTGGTCTCTGCAAAGGATTTCAGGTAGGATATGTTTGTTTGGGTTTTCCAAGAAGAATGGTATTATTAGGAGAGTGGAAGACAGAGGGGAGTAATATTTACCAAACATTTACCAGGCATCCAGACTGAAGCTCGGTGATGCATAAAATCAAGTGGAATCCAGATTTAAACTCCAGCACTGAGCCTCATTCACGTTTTTATCACACTGACTTAATAATTATAGTCTGCTTATATCCAACACTTAAAATAAGAGAAATGCATTTTCTCTATATGTCAGAATTAAGAATCTAAGTAGAATATAACCTTTATTTTTCTCTAAAGTATAATATCCCTAATAGAATAAATGAAAACAGAGTGAGTAACATAATTATTACATGGAAGGTCATCAGAGGTACTATATTCTAGCATATTCCAGATTAGAATAAAATATGAGTTATATTAGTAGTTGTAGGTTATTTAATTTAATAGATGTTCATATGTACTAATAACTGCAGACATTTCTCCTATATTACTCATTTTTCTTTACTAAATCATCATGTGAGATACGGCTATTATCTTGTACAGTGGAGACACCCAAAGAATATTGCCTGAATCCTAACTTGCATAGGAAGCTTCGTGACCTGTGAGTTAAAGAGCTGGCTAACTTCAGTTAATACCAGTTCTGGTCACTATTCATATATTAATTTAGAGTCACCTTGGTATTTCACATTGTCCCAATTTTAAAACTGCCAACTGTAAAACCCAGGTGTTAACTATAAAACAGTTGCTAAGAGCCTTCTCCAGTGAACTCCAAATATATTCTGAGCACTCCACAAGATCTCATATGGAAAATTTTCCAAAGTGTCAAGCATAGGAAATGTTCAAAGAAAACGAGTAGTGATTCCTGGTAACAGTGGGTTAGTAAAAATAAGATTCCAAATGTGCCTTGACTTCCATACAAAATAGTTCAGCCATCCAGTCAATGAAGGCATGTCTAAAGAGTTTTACTTCCTGGGGAAATTATAATTACAGAACACATCTTTCCCTCCTAGCTCAAGAGAAGAAAGGCGTGCTAAACTTCCTTAAATCATTGATGTTTGTGGGAAGAAAGCGCACAAGTTTATACAAAGGTTTACATAAAGCAACGTAGTCAAAACTGAGTATGTGAAATGCAGTTGGCAGGAGGTTGGCTTTGCTTTGAAGACCTTAAAGACACTTGTGCCCTGGCCCAGAGGTGGGAATACTAACTGAGGGGACCAGGGGGGTTTGGTTGCAGAAACGGGGAGGATCTTGTGAGGAATAAGCAGAGTCGCTGCTACTGACCTGTATCTTTCCCTTGAGGCATTAACTGGAGACAGTGTGGGCCTGGACTCCCAGCGCTGGGGTCAGTTTGTGGGTTCTAAGCTGTGGGTTCTACGCAGGCTGCTTCCTTTGATTATCTGGAATGGCAGGAGCTGAGGGTGGGGTGGTTCTTTTCGAGTCAGAAGCAGGAGTTGACACTTAACAGTAATTAGAGACTTAAACATGTGTTATCGTTCCCACCTCAATAGTCTGCCTGGATCACAGAGTCCAAGGGGACTGCCCTTGCCACCAACATGATGCTACAGGTACATCCAGGTATCTCCATTAGTCAGAGTTACCCAATATATCTTTGATTTTACACAAAGCAAGATTCCTCAGGAGAGAAGTACGTTATTAAATGTGACAACAGTATATCTGCATATTTAATACTCTACCATTCTCTAACAGAGTAATATTTTTCTTGCTTCATAAAAGTAGTATTCTTGGCCAGGGGATATGAGAGTATAGAATAAGCTAGAATGGAATTTTCCATAAATGATGAAATGTTTTATTCTGATGTAGTAAATATTGAACCAACATTCTGACAGAGTAAATTAATCTCCTAAGATGCATAAATTGTTGAGAGCTTATTGATTTACTGAGAAATAGTTATCTTTGGGAGAATAAACCAACCCAATTTAGTTTGTGAGCAATAGATAGTATACAGGAACCCAATACAAAAAGTACTGTTTTGATGGAAATAGTTTTGCCTATTGGGGAAAAAACACTCTTAAATCTTTGTTCTAGACAAAAAACTGGAGACATGTAGATGTATAAATAACATGTAAATGCAGCTAAGCTGTATCTGGTTTTCTTTATAAAATATTGGTTTACAAGCTATTTTAAATTTTAAATTGTTTTAAACTTCAAAGAGTTCTACCACCAGTCATTTAAATAAGCAGGCAATAAAATGAATACAATTATACATATAGAAGAAAACAACAGAAAGCAGACTCTTAAATATTGATAGCCCTTTCAGAATGATGACATAATTTTAATGCTTTTGAAAATATTTTTCAATGTGAGCAATTATGCTTTAGCAATTGTATAAGAAAAAAACTACTATGACAAATGATAAGAAGACATAATATGTATATGACTAACAGGGGTAAAAAAGCACATTGTAAAACAAAATATTCAATATATTCCATAAGATTTCAATTTTGTCCCTGTATTTGGAGGTGTGCTGGGCAGGGGTGAGAAAGGATGGTGTTTATGTTTATTTGTGAGTATATATTGTATAAAAATGGAAAAAAGGAAAAAAAATAGATCACAATACTGCCAATCAAGGTGTAATTTTAATTTTTTCTTTGTGTTTCCAGTTGTTTCAAGGAACCTCTAATATTACTTTTATAATATGAATGCCATTGACATAGTTTTAAAGCATTATACAGTTTAGTTAAACATTGAGAATGAATCTGTCTTGCTAAATTACTAAGTCCCCTGATTATTTTAATTAGATCCGATGAAAATGTCCTCAGTTCAGTTCAGTTCAGTCCCTCAGTCATGTCCGACTTCTTTGTGACCCCATGGACTGCAGCACACCAGGCTTCCCTATCCATCACCAACTCCTGGAGCTTACTCAGACTCATGTCCAATGAGTCGGTGAAGCCATCCAACCATCTCATCCTCTGTCCCACTTCATCTAAAATTCTTCTTCCATCTTGTGTAATGAATATTGATAACTGTTGTCAAGTAATATTAAAAAGTTTAAAATTAATGAATATTTCTGTCCATGAAATTATAAAAATTGTTTCATTTCCTAGCAAATGTGTAGTTGAAATATCTGATAGAAAGGAGGTTTGATTTAAATGGACATGATTTTAATGTGGTCTCCCTCCAAGCAGTGGGCTTCCATGTATATTTTTATTGGCTACTAAATTCTGTTTATTAGTCTAAAAAGTATTTGGCAATGCATGAAGAAAAGACAATTAAAAAGAAAAACCTGAAGCCTTGAATAGCAAACATGAAGATCTGGCTTAGAACTTAATAAGATTTTTTTTTTCCAAATATTGTTTTTTTCTATTGCATACCTAAATCTTTTGTACAGCAGTATTCATGTACACAATTCTTAAGTCAAGACTCATAGCAAGAGAATCTTATAAACAAAGAAAAGGGTAAATTTAACCAAACTCTAAACAAACATGTTTTGCACAGAGCAATAGAGCAAATATAAAGACCAAAAGCTGCTAATGATAGAATGGCACTAGGTAACCTCAAACATGTTATTTTCTCATTTGTTCTCATCATTTTTCTAAGCAATGCATTCAAGTTGTTTAATGAGACAATGAAATTCAAAGTGAAATCACCCATAATTTAGAGTAATAGAGGAATTGATTACATTTGTCTTCCCCTAGCCTCTCAAAACTATGACTTTGCGGTGTACCAAAATGAACTTAACAGTTTAGACATTTCCTTAGTAAAATGCTAGTAAAATTTCATAATATATTGACTTCTGTGTGTCCTTGACAGTGGTATTTCTACACTTGATCTTAGACAAAGGCCAAGAAGCAATAGCAGTGGTATTTCTAATTAAAAGACTGAAACTGTACCATAATGATAACTTGGTTTGGTTTTCTTAAACAGTCATGTCCATTTGTAGGATATTATTTTTACTGTAGCTAAGCGATGGATGCCCTTACTGTCATATATTCCCCCAAATGCATCTCAAATCACACTTAGTGTTTGAACAATAAACACAGGATGTCAGGTAGGCATTGGAATTTAGCATATGCATTGTTTTAAGAACATAAGAATTAAAAGGGGACCTACAAGACATACAGTGGAAAAAGTTAAACTGATCTAGTCAGTAAGAAGGATAGTCAGATTAATGTTGCATGAGGGGTGGCAGGCACAGCTACCTCACCATTAGATTGATTTGGACACCACTTTAGGTTTGCATACACTGTGTGTCTCTAGGTCAAAGGTTATGGTCCCTAATACTCCACTGCTAGCCAGGGTGTGTATACTCACCTAGTGGAAGCTAACTGACTGGGTCACTTGAGGAATTGGGAATATTTGTAATACGCTGTTTATCTTTGAGTGGTAGTTTTCAAATTTAACAAGGACTTTATATCTATAGTTTCTCTTTTTGCAAAAATGTTTCTGTTGTCTACAGGAAGGCAAGAGCCTCTTGTCTTAGCTGCCATCGGCCTGGAAACAGACCTGCTCCATTTGGATTCTGGGTAAGAATTCATATTAAAACACTGATGCTAAATGCATAAAATCATTTAGGTAAAGATTGCTAATTTACTTTTAAAAATATATTTACATCTAAGTTCTGCACCAAAAGTAATTTAGGGGATTTTAATACTTGTTCCTGCTTTATAAATTATATGGAAGACTATTTTTTTTTTTTATAACTGCAGAGCTATAATTAGATAAAGTACTCTGGGAACTGAAAAACTCCATGTGTCTTGGCAGTTCCCAACTAATGGTTTTTGGCAAAATTATCAGTGAGTGCTAAAAGTGTATGTAGGTGAAGATATTATGGGAAGAGGAATATTTATGTAGACTCAAAATCTCAACAGATTACTTATTAGTTATGGAAAGGCAAATAAATAGCTTTTCAGTTGAAATGTAAACTTCAGAGTTATCACAGGTGACAAATCCAGTGCTTCCTGCAGTGATGGGCTGAGTAGGATGGTGACACCAACGCTGAGCACTTCTGCACTTCCCAGCCCCCAATTAGCTAAGGATGTAATCAGACAAACCCTAACTGAGACACAGTCTATAAAAATATCTGGTCTTTAATCTTCACATGAAAGAGACAGAGAGACTGTTTCATATGAAGGCAGATGAAGAAGATGGGAACCCAGCTAAATGTGTAAGGCTGACCTGGGTTCTGGAGAAAAATGAATGACATCTGTGAGATGATTAGAAAATTCTGAATTAGGTCTGTAAAGTAGGTAATAGAACTGAATCAGTGCTAATATCCTGATTTAAATAATTAATTAGATGGTGGTTATGAAATACAAATCGTTGTTTTCTCTCTTTAACATTTCAGGAAAATAGAACAAATGATTAAGTAAATTTGATAAAACAACACTTGTTCATTCTTGGTGAAGGATACATGGACATATGCAACACCTGTGAGTCTGAAGTAATTTCAAGATGAAAATGTGCATCAAATTTCCCTATGGTTGCTGTAGTTGTTGTTACAATTTCTTTCAGAGGGAAGGCAAATGGGGAAAAATCAAATCTGTGCCCTGGATAGTTAACTTTTGTAGACTGCCTTTTTTGTTGAAGTATGGCTTCTGTAACAAACAGGATTGGATGTCTTGGGTTGGGCAAGAAGTTTGTCCTGTAAGATGGTACAGAAAAACCCAAAAGAGCTTCTTGGCCATGTCAATGGTTATGCTTGCAGATTGACAGCTGAGTAAGGGATCCTGCTCTGTAGGCAATGGATGCAAAAGCCTTTCTGTTTTCTGACTTTGTTTGTTTTTGTTTTTGTTTTTTAATACCACCCCTGGTAACTTACACTATTGTCAAACCATTTTAACTTTTATATTAGGCAGAGTCTGAATTTTAATCAGAGCACATATATTCAAGCATGTGAAAATGTGCAAATTTTGAAATATTTTGTGTGTGAATTCCCATGAATGTCAACAGATTCACTGACAGATTTTTTTCCTATAAAACTGGTGGGTTTTTGGAGGGAGTGTTAAATAAATCCATGTTAAAAATGCCTTAGGGCATTTGTATCTGAGATGCAATATCAAGATGATATACTCTGTATACTGTTGATTTTTTTTCCCCCAAATTTCATTAAAAACAACTTTCTCCAAATTTTCTATGTCTTTGACTGTTGGTCTGGATTCTGTTTTCCCCACATCCTGATTTTTCCTTTCTTACTTTGCAACATTATAATGCTAACAAAAAAAAAAAGCATAACAATTCTAGTGTCACCTTTACACACAGATCAAATTTGAAGGGTGAACTTTCCAGGATATTTGAAAGCTCCACACTCCCTCATTACTAAATGTCTAATTTGAGACTCCGAAAACACAAAGCAGCTTGTTTAAACCAGCTAAACCAAATGTTTACAAATGATAGCCAATTTGAAGAAAAATCTTCACTAATCTGACTATGATAAAAGGCCAGAAGCTAACTACTTGGTTTAGGGAATTGCATTTACTGATAAAAGATGAATAAAATCAGAAATGTGTGTGTGCTCAGTTGCTAAGTTGTGCCTGACTTGTTGCAACCTGATGAACTGTAGACTCCCAGGCTCCTCCCTTCATGGGATTTTCCAGGCAAGAATACTGGAGTGGGTGGCCATTTCCACCTCCAGCAGATCTTCCTGACTCAGGAAATGAACCTGCATTTCTGTGTCTCCTGCACTGGCAGGCAGATCCTTTGCCATTGAGGCACCTGGGAAGCCCATAATCAGAAAAATAACTTCTATATCATATGGGTAAATAGAAATGATCTCTAGGTTCCTAAGAAGTTAACTACACTTAAAAACAGTATATTCATGTTAATGTTTACCAATCCAAGCAGTGTAAATTAAAGACACTTTCTTTAGTAGAAATGATATATTCTGAATGACTTAGTCTGAAAGCTGAGTATTTTCAATTATTTTCATAGTCTATATCTTCCATACACCATCTGTACTTCAGACTTCAATGATAGCAAAAGCCAGTGATCGGAGAACTTTGAGAGGTAAGGCAAGTTATAAGGCAACTCTTCAAAGAATTAAAAATGAATGTCACCATTAGGCAAACTAATATACCAGCTGATGCGCTGTATTAACAAGGTCTGCTATATTACCTTACTTAGGTGAAATGACCAGAAGCCGCATCTCTTATCAGCACTCACTGCTGATTTCCTGTTCTTATGCTTCTAAGGGACGAAGGAACAAGAAATGGTTTGGAATGGGAGACACAAAGTGGTTAAGAAGTAATTTTCATCTTCACCAGCCAATATCCATGGGAAGTAGAAAAGGTAAATATTGATTTAATCAATAGCTATTTCAGAAATACTGCTGCTAAACATAAGAATGGCCACACAAGTTACAGCTCCTGCTACAGCTACGGTGATCACTTTTACTAATAACTCAACTGTGTTGAAAGAATACTGTGTTGCAGACACTTTACAGCACTTTTGCTCATAAAGTGCTATGATGCAGGCACTCCTCTCACCTTTGTTTCAGTAATAATGCCAAAATTGATTACAAGCTGTGGCAGACGGCAAATACTAAGGGCTCGCATGCCATTATCTTTTCTTTTTTTTTCTTTTCTCCACACCTTCTCCAGCATTTGTTTGTAGACTTTTTGATGATGGGCATTTTGACCAGCGTGAGGTGATATCTCATTGTAGTTTTGATTTTCATTGCTCTAATATGAGCGATGTTGAGCATCTATTCATGTGTTTGTTAGCCATCTGTATGTCTTCTTTGGAGAAATGTCTGTCTAGTTCTTTGGCCCATTTTTTGATTGGGTCATTTATTTTTCTGGAATTGAGCTGGAGGAGTTGCTTGTATATTTTTGAGATTAATCCTTTGTCTGCTGCTTTATTTGCTATTATTTTCTCCCAACCTGAGGGCTTACTTTCTCCCAATCTGAGGGCTCCTTCTTATAATTTTATTTTGCATTCAGTATTCTTGTATTGCCTATACAGGATTTTTTGTTTTTTGTTTTTTTTTTTTTAATAGTTCTTATACTGTTTTAATCTGCTGGGAAGGAATTTTAATTTGCTTAAAAATTTATTGGAGTATAGTTGCTTTACAATGTTGTGTTAGTTTCTATTTACAGCAAAATGAACCAGCTTTCCTATACATAAATCCCCTCTTTTTTGGATTTCCTCCTCATTTAGGTCACCATAGAGCACTGAATAGGGATCCCTGTGCTGTAGAACAAGCTCTCATTAGTTATCTACTTTATACAGAGTAGTTTGTCTATAAGCCAACCCCAACCTCCCAATTCATCCTACCTCCCCTATCCTCCGTGGTATCCACACATTTGTTTTCTACATCTGTGTCTTTTTGCTCTGTAAATAAGACTGTCGATATCATTTTCCCCACATTCCACATAAATGTTTTAATATATAGTATTTGTTTTTCTCTTTCTGACTCACTTCACTTTATACAGTCTTTAGGTTCATCCACATCTCTACAAATTGCCCAAGTTAATTCCTTTTCAGGGTTGAGTAATATTCAATCATATATATGTACCACATCTTTATCCATTCCTCTGCTGGTGGACATTTAGGATATTTCCCTGCCCTTGCTAGTGTAAAGAGTGCTGTCGTGAACATCGGGGTGCATGCATCTTTCTGAATTATGGTTTTCTCTTGGTATGTGCCCAGGAGTGGGATTGCTAGGTCACATAAATGTAAGGCCAGATATTGTTAGAGGAAAATAGAGGCTGAATACTCTTTGACTAAACACAGTAAGGTCTTCTTTGACCCATCTTCTAGACTAATGAGAATAAAAATTTAAAAAAAAGTTTTTGCACAGCAAAAGAAACCATAAAGAAAATGAAAAGACATTCCATGGAATAGGAGAAAATACTTGCAAAGGAAGCAACTGAAAAGGAATTAATCTCTAAAATATACAAACAGCTCATGCAGCTGAATATCAAAAAGCAAACAACCCACAAACAACCCAATCAAAACATGGGCAGAAAGCCTAAATAGACATTTCTCCAAAGAAGACATACAGATGGTCACTATGCACATGAAAAGGTGCTCAGCATTACTCATTAATAGAGAAATGCAAATCGAACCACAGTGAGGTGTCATCTCACACTGGTCAGAATGGCCATCATCACAAAGTCTATAAACAATACATTCTGGAGAGGCTGCAGAGGAAAGGAACCCTCCTATCTTGTTGGTGGGGATGTAAATCAGTAAAGACACTGTGGAAAATGGTATAGAAGTTCCTTAAAAGACTAGGAATGGAATCTTAACTTTTTTGAAAGATACTCTCACTGGGTATAAAATTGACAGCTATTCTTTCCTCTCTTTGTACCCTGAAGATCCGGCTCTGTGGTCCTCTGGACTGTACAGCTGGTCTCCTGAGAACAAACCAGGTATCATGTTCATGTTTGTGCACACTCTGTGTGTTTTGTCTGGATGCTCTCACCTGATTTTCAAGAATGTGACTTCAGAATGACTTGCTGTGGTTTTATTTATGTTTATTCAGTTGGTGTTGATTTTGTTTCTCGGATCCGTAGGTTTACACTTTGTATCAATTATGGAAAATTTCAGCCAGTACTGAAATATTTTTTTTTGTCCCTTACAAATCTATACATATATATTAGATGACTTGATTTTGTCCCACAAGTCAACAAATGTTCATTCTCACTTGGTTTGGTTTGTTTTGGTTTGTTTTTCCTTTTCTCTGTGTTTTGTGAACAGGACAATCAGAAATATGGTGGTAACTTCTGGAGAAGTGGCAAAATGATTATGGACAGTAGACTTGTGGGAGCAGGTGTACTAATCATGACAATTAAGATGTATGCCAGGTGTGAACTGAGCAACAAAGACAAAATGGAAAAGAGAAGGAAAACCAGAAGTGGGAAAGCCAAGCACAGAACAGAACAGGATGACCTAACAGTTACCCAGAGCCTGCAGTGATGGATCAATGTAAGATGACCTGCACATGCCCTTTAGAACCAGGGATAATGATTAGGGTTTCCTCATAGATCTGTAGTAGGCTTATCCAGTTAATTCATGTAGAAGGCGGAAAATAGTTCCTGAAACACGGTAGATTCTCGACAAAAAGTAAAAATAAGAAGGCACATAACTGTCTGTATTGTAACAGTTGTTGTGGGGTTGGGGTTGGGGGAGCTTTAATAAATGGTGAACCATGGACTTAGGGAGCATCTCCTGATGGGAGAGACAGAGCTAAAGGGCCCTGGAAATAAGGAAGAGGTATTAGGTTCTGCTGTACATTTAGAATGTAATCCTTCCTGCTGAGGAAGGGGAATTCTCTCAAGAAATTATTTTAAACATTTTTCTTGCTTTTTACTTAAATTTGAATGCTGGACAAAGACTTTTTGATGTAGCCTGGCTTCAGGAAGCAGTGTTGGATTACTGGTTTCATGCATCAATTGCTGAATACTTTTTAAAAGCAATATAACATTCCTATAGAAATAACAGAAGGACTAATCAGTTCTATTCTATTCTATCAACTTAATCACGAATAAAACAATGATATATGATAGTTCATTAGGTGGAACATATGTGGATTTCATCAACACAACTTGTACAACACAAATCTGAGTTTTTGTATCCAGTTGTCAGTTTCTTGAGTCATTTCTCCTCTCATGGAATGCTCTAATTTTTCATGTTGTCATTGTTAAAAAATGAACAAAGAGGAATTTCCAGGGAACTGACTGGTATAAAATAAAGAGTAAGATAATTGATGAAGGACTACTAGGGTGAGAAATTGTATAATAATGAAATGTGAAATAGAATTTCCTAATTTGGAAAATGAGTTTACTAGTACTGGTTTTTAAATTATGACAGAGATGCTCTTAATATTTAGAGCAGAGGATA